GCTATTAACATTTTCATATTCATGTGAATGATAACAACATTACAAATTGATACTTGTTATCATTCCTGAGATGGTTTTAAGGCAAAGAAGAGTCGGTCGCGCTACCCTATGGGTGCCGACGGGGATAGAATGTTGTTTACAACTGTTTATTCTTCGCTGGGCTTCTACTACGTATTATCACTCATTCATTAGCTATTAAACGACCACCGCTGAACGTAGGCCTGCGTCTTAAAACATTTAAAGTACTTAATGATTTCTTATATTTACGCGAACATTGCACATGATTAAAACTACTTTTACGGATTTTATCGCGTTTATTTTTACTTTTTATTTTTAATTCCCGACGTTTCGGGGTGCTTTCCAGCACCCATGGTCACGGGGGACTGAGATGACTGACGTCCCGATGTCATTGTTAAACCCGGAGTACCTTCAGCTTTTTTAATTATTGTTTATGGTCCGATCTATGCAAAATGAACTGACTATGTCTTGAGTTCTTGCAGTTCTTGCAAACCCAAGCATACCACTGCAAGAACTCAAGACATAGTCAGTTCATTTTGCATAGATCGGACCATAAACAATAATTAAAAAAGCTGAAGGTACTCCGGGTTTAACAATGACATCGGGACGTCAGTCATCTCAGTCCCCCGTGACCATGGGTGCTGGAAAGCGCCCGAAACGTCGGGAATTAAAAATAAAAAGTAAAAATAAACGCGATAAAATCCGTAAAAGTAGTTTCAATCATTTAAAGTACTTAGTACATTATAAGACAACTAATGATATAACAAATCACTGACGTAGTTATCATTTGTCATGTAAGGGGACACATACAATCTTTCCCACGGTCTGTAGATTGTGAACAGCTTCTTACCAACCCAACTGATCAGGTTGTTGAGTACGGTTAAATATTTTAAGAAATATAATATTGCTAAATGCCTCGGGCCCTACATCCTATAGAGGGTATGTTCCAAAATAGAACCCAGTGTACTGTCCAATGCAAAATGACGTCATAAATCGACGCCATACTGGTGATTCGTTCCAAAACATAGGACAGTATATGACGTCATACATTTACGCCATATTGGAAAAGTGTAGGCGATTATTTTGTCATTTAGTGCTCCAAAAACATTATATTCTCCTAATGGAGATACCTGCAATTATTCTATAATTTTTTGTATTTGAATAAATAAATACGTGTGGCACTCGGGGACTGCCGCGGTAAAGCTATTGCATAATATTTTTGTCAACTTATGCAATTATAATTATTTATTTATGTAGTATTTTTTTATTTGTTTTTTTCTTTGATATTAATTCAAGTTACAGCAGCTATTCTACACGCATACGTCTAGTCGCATGCACACAAACACCGAGCCGAAGTCTGCCGAACTGAAGCGACGTTACGGCGCCCCTACACGTTGGCCAACACAGTGGCGAATGTAGTGGCCAATAGCATTGGCCAACGTGTAGACGGGGTGTTTGGGCTTCATTGGTATGTATTGGAACGATGGCCCACAAGTTGGCGCGAGATCCATGTGGTGTCGGTTTTTTACAAAAGATCTATGGATTGTTGGCAGAGTTTGGTCGCCGCGTCCACACGTTGGCCGCGAGTTTAGTTTGCTACAAGCTCCCAGAGTGATTACACGCATCTGATTAAAATTTTATATTCACGCTTTGTAGGGTGGAGGGCCCAATTACCAGCCTTTTAGTGCCAATTTCAACTTTAAACATTCCTACTACTTTAATTAGCACGATTCAATTATTTTTAAACATTTGTTTTAATCGATGCTTATTTATAAAAAAAATAATGAACATTTATTTACAATCAGATTATTACGAGAACAATTTTAAAATGAAAAAAAAAATGAAGCACGTCGTCGTGGTAGAACCATGCAGTTATATTAGAAGTATAGTTGTAGCACGAATGGGTCGGTTCGACCGGGGAAGGACCAACGCTCTCACAGAATATCAATGTAAAATAGTAGCTTAATGATTGTGTGTTTCGTATAGTGAGTGTAGAGAACCAGAGACACTTTTTAAATGAAACGAGGCATTTCATCTTAGTCCTCACGGGTGACAACGCATCTGCATTTTGATTCGTAATCGAGGATATATGTAGATGTCTGTGGGCCACAACAACCACTTATCATCAGGTGAACTGTGTGCTCGTTTGTCACCCTATCCTATATAAAAAAGCGTCGATTTCTTATAATTTAATCGTGCAAGTTTTCGAATCATCATCATCATTACAGCTCTTCACAAGTCCACTACTGAACATCTTCCTCCAAAGAAAGCCGCAAAGCATGGTTCTGAGCCACTTTCCTTGTCATGAGTTTTTCATTTATGTTCTAAGTTATAATTAGTACCTATTATTAAGTCAGTGTTAATTATATTTATTGCTACTGTTTTCAAAAAATAATTAAATTACCAATAAATTATAAGGTGTTTTTATATACATCAAATGTCTGATAGAAAAGCAAGTACATGTTTTGCTAAACTTTAAAAACAAAACCCAATTTTAAAACATAGACTTATCGATTATAACTCCTTTAACTTTAAAATAAGTTTAGTTCTAATTAATGGTATTTATTCCAGTTTCTGATTCATGTAAAGAATAAATAAAGCTAATCGTATATCTATTTACAGCCCATTAATATTCACTATTTTTTTATAATTATTTTATAAAAACGTTACCCCCCACACTTGGATTTTCTCCTGTATCGCGGAGGCAACTTACAAACATTGCATAAGGACACACATCCAGACCCGAAACAATTATTTGTAGGATATACAAATACTTGTTCCGTGCGGGATTCAAACCCGCGACTCCTGGCACAGTCACTCATTGCCAAGCCACTGCGCCACGAAGCCGTCGTCTAAAATAAAATAAATTCGTCCGCACATAAACGACGTTAGACAATGCACGGCCTTCAAGCCACACCTCCGTGCCCGTCGGAGTGGGAAGCGTGAGGTTTTTTCGTTACGGAATGAATTTCTGGATTCGGTCCCCGCGCTCAAGGCCCACGATAGAAGCTATGCAATAGCTTAAAAACTTATTCTGGCATGCTTCATTCAGCGTACACACAATTAAAAACTGTTTTAATTAGGGTCGGATATCCGACACAATATAGCAGCGACACGCCAGTGCAATAGTGCGTCAATTAATGACGTAATTTGTATTCGGCAGTATACTGGAAACGTTTCGGAGCATACCCAGAAATTTACAGGCTAAGAAAGACGTGTTTAAAAACAGTTAATACTTGCCATTCTATGCAAATACAGATCATTCATCACAGCCTCATGAAATTCTATTACTGGTTATAGGTTTCCTTCCAGTCTCGTATTTGCTACGCAAACGGGTTGGCAACCGCAGTTTTCTATTATTTTTGGTTGTTATCATGAAGACGCTGCTGCTAAACTCCTTTTTAACTTCCTTTTATCTATCTACTATAATCTAAGAAGATGAAATCATACCACACGTAATTGTCACCAACTCCCTAACGAACAATCAATCGTATTACGCCGCACTCGCTAAATCAACATAAAATTTGTACAATATACACAGGAAAATGTACAAAGGGACAAAATACATACCAAAGTCAACACGACGGGAGATTGAAGTCACGAACCATTTTGACATAGCGAGTACGATCTTGTTACATCTAAAAATTGTCCAAACTTAAACCTACTAGTATTTTCACTTTAGTTGTAGTTCTACTACTGTGAAATGCATAAATTTATTTTTTAACTGCGCGTTAAAAAAACACAACAAAATTAAAGGTATATTGTCGAATGAAATAAACCTCACAATATTTGTAAAATTCGAATTGAAATTTAACCCCCACAAGAAACGCAACTACAACCGTGCACACATACGCACATACAAGAGATATGTCTGCGACAAAAGCTTATAAAGAATTTTCAATAATTCCGCTCGTATTTACAACGTCCTTAAACCATAAGTCTAAAAATTACATTTAAAAAGGAATATTGACTTAATGTAGATATTCTTTATAAAATAATACAGCGCGTGCCAAGAGATTGCGTAGATACTGTTAGGACGTGAAAAATTCAAAGATAAAGTAACATTTTTGCTGTGTGAGAGTCATCGGTTGAGCAATCTCTGAAGGATAATACTAAGTAGAAAAGTGTGAAATAGGTCATATTTTAATTATATGTAACCAAAGTCGCAAAAATCTTTACTAGCGCTGCAAACGCTAATAAACTAGCACGCAGCATTAGCAATTTAAATGCAATTTAATTAAGTGAACACTTTCAAATTCGTATTTACAATAATAGACAATATAAGACTTCGGATTTATTAACAGTGAAAAATATGTGATATTTGAAAGTAAAAATTTCGGTGATATTCGAGTACATATTCACAATACTTATTTAAAAGATAAAGAATTATCACTTAATGCTGTACATGAATCGTCAAAAGACTTATTTTATCGATAAAAAAATCTAAAATCTATAACGTACCTATTTCTCGAATTAAAGTCATGAGTAAAACATTTTAAAACCACATTGAACACTTACACTGTAGTTACCCTACAGTTTACCATTTAACGTTCAGACCACGCTGGTAAGTTACACGCTTTACAAATGCGGGCACGCCTGGCGTACCCGTACGCTGGGAATGTGTGACGAGTCGCGCTGTCGTCTGTCTCGCTCTTTTACCACACTTAACATCCCTATTATAGTAACGACTACAAACGACAGTAACATCGAGTACTATATTCACTAACTCAGACTTGAAACGATAGAAATTGTCATGAAGTATTGGGAGTCCTGCGTCGAGCCATCTCTCTCCAACCGCGATGACTGGGGATGCAAATCGTAGTTGCTGGCCGACGAGTGGTTTCTCTGCAAGCGGACTAGCTCGAGTTCTCTTTCATTGGAACTGAGCCAGCTCACTTGTATGAATCGCTGTTTGGCGGTGGGTCGGGTGGGAGCGAGTCGGCACGAGTGGCGACGCTATGTGCGGGAGCGGGAGCGCATTACTACAAGCGGTCCAGTCGAAACTCGTGCTCGACCGCCGAATCGGGCAGAAGTGCACTGGGCTCTTCTAATAAGGTGAGGTCGTCCAAATCCAGACCAGCTCGAAGCTGCGCTTCCTCCCCGCCGAAAATGCCCGCGTCTAGCTCACCCGAGTAATCTGTACATGTGTTAAGAAATTTCAAGTGTTAGAATGAAGACATTATTAAGAACAAAATTCGTTAGAGGTTTTGGTTTTATAATATTATATTGAGTTACCTATCTTATTTACCGTGTGCAAGTGAAAGTTTTTCTCTATAATCCTGATACGATTTTATTACGAAATCGCTCAAATATACCATTTCGTTTTTGTCATTTTTTGTCGATGAGTTAAGAAGGAAATACACATACAAATGCGTTATTAACTGTTTAAATATCAATAATCATAATGACGATCATAATGATGATAAAAGGCGTTGGGTAATGTAAGCAAGTAAGCATAGATTATTCAACATTTATTAGTTATAAACAACCAGCAAACGAGTAGTTTGCTTCGATAGAAATCAATGTCACGCACACATGTATCCGTGTGCTTTTTAGTCACACATTCTTGATTTTATCAGGACGGGTAGCGGTCGTGGTATTGAATTATATATCACTCAATGAGCATCATAAGTCGCTATATACTCGTACTTTCAGTACCGATATCGGCGAGCCTGTATCGGCGACGACATATCGACATTGAAAAATGTTAGGGCATTTTTAAATGTATCAGTTAAATATATCAGATATTTAATAATTAACAATAATAAACGTTTTAGAGAGGAGTGGCGAGATTACGAGAAGGCTAGAATATTACAAAAACAATACGACTGAAGTAAAACTTCTTTAGGTCCATTTGTATACATATATATGGCTAACGGGAGTTGAATGGGGGTCCACTCAACTCCCGTTAGCCTCGTCCGATCACACTTTTCGTAACGATTTCGTCACGCGTTCACCAGCTTACGCCTCAAGTCAAGCGTACGTAAAGAAGTTTTACTTCAATAAAAAAGGCCTAGCCTCCCAAGCGAAGCGATTGCAAATCCTCCACAAAACGAGATGTTCTTGCACTACAGGTTCGCAAGTTAACTCGCTTACTGTACTTGTCGAAGTGTAAATCGGTCTTTAGTCGTGTGCCACGCTAGCGCGACGCGTCTTGCGTCTGCGATAATCGGAAAAATAACAATACCAGACGAACGGGAGGTGCCACGCACACAATGGCAGTAGCATTTTCATTTAGTGCCCTAAAAGTTACTGTTTTTAGAGAAACACGATATAAGTTACATACTTATTTGAAATAAACTTCAAATCACGTTGACAAAGTGCGCACATAAATTATGAAACCGTTTTCTTAGTCAGGTTCGGGACACTTTTGGGCGAGGGGGGGGGGGGACGCTCACCCGGGATATAGAGTGGATAAAATTAAATTTTTTCTATAATGTACATTTATGCCGATAGATAAAATAACATTAATTTTGACACTTTTTTCGACTATAGTGATAATGTCTACTAAAGGTGTTACGGATTTACGTAATTAAACATTTTTCAAAATAAGCTTGATGGTTAAAACAGTACTTAAAAAACTTGACTCCGTTAGAAAGTTTACTTAAAAGAGAAACATCTTTTACCCTTTGTCATTTCCAGAACTAAGACGAATCTAACTACACCCCATATGTTAAAATCCAAGTCATTTAGGCTACAGAGCGTGCCGAAGAAATAGACATACATACAATGTGATTCAAATAAGAAGAGGTATGTCAATGATCGATTTGTCAATTGTCACTTGAGAAGTACGGCTTGCTAATTGATAATATATTTATTTAATTGAGTCTTAGTATTATCAAACCTATTGAAGTCATAAGTAGTTTTAAAAACAATTTAAAATTGTTTTGTTTTTCCTATTTTCATTATTGGCAACAATTCGTAAAAAAGCAAAGAAGACGCCATTTTGTCGATGTCATTGTGCTTCGTCGTTTGATGACAATGATGACTGCTCAGACCATGAAGGTTAGAGAACAGGAGAACTATCACCGTAGAAAATAGTGTCCAAAAATATGGACACCATAAGTGAGGCGCTGCGATCGCTCGAGGTTCGGTCAATAAAAGTCATTTTGAGTCTATTTTCCGATCAGATGCTAAACCACTTGCACATCCACGTACAATAAACGTAAAGTAAAATGTTTCTTTTTGTCAAAAATTACAAAATTACGGAGCATAATTTTCTCATTAAAAATGAAATGGAAATTTGTACATTATTCAACTAACTTCATCTACTTGTACTCATAAACAGCTAACTTCGCAGTCACTACTCACCGACGTCAGCGTCGCTATATATTCTACAATTTTCAAGGACAGGCGGGCTATGCTTTAGTACGTAGTGATCGTTCTCCTGTTCTCTAACCTTCATGGCTCAGACAATGATGCTGAGATGAGCGGAATTGAAGTGCTTGATTACGATCAAAACTTTTTCTTTCGTGGTTTTATCTGTTTTGCTCACCATATTTAACTGAAGTTTGAATTGAAAGGAATAACGTCACAATATGGCGCTAGATCATTCCTGTTCTTGTTTAAATAGCATAATACATACTCTCTAAAACATTACCCTTCTTGTGGGGCGGTAAAGTAAAAAAATGTGTGTGCGTGATGGTAGTACCTGTGAGTATGATGTCGGGTATGCTGGCGGGCGTGGCAGGCGTGGCGGGCGCGGAGGGCGAAGCGAGCGGCTGCAGCGCGGGGTACCCACCGCCCGCCACCGGGTCGCGCGCGCGCCGCGCCTCGCCCGTCGCGTGCGACACGTGCGCCTGCCAACCACGCAACATTGAGCAATATACATAAGGCTTCAATCTCAATTCTTTAGAATAACAGTCGTTCTTTACACTTAGCGTCGTAAAACTTTCTTTTGCTAATCACATTGGAACTTTCTATCGGTAAAATATTGCGTTCGGTTAAAGAGCTATCAAATTATTTTGTAGGTTACTCGTCCGGTCGTTGAAACACTATGATTACTTTTGTTAGTATTAACCGCGCGCAGAACCTTTGCCGATGACATCATGACGTCGCGTGTCGTTGGTTAGTACGGTTGACAAAAACACGTGGTACTATATATATATATATATATATATATATATATATATATATATCTACAGACGAAGTTACCTCCAAACTAAACAATAAACCGCTGGTATTCGTAAAATACTTTAAATTAGATCACGAAACTTTGCATACTAACTGAACTAACTATAAAGCAGGGCTTATGTTTTTTTAATTACCATTATTTTCAATGTAAAAAAGAATTACCTAAACTGTCGGCGTTTTGAAGTTTGTTTTCTGCCGCTCGATCAGTCTAGCTTGGGCTTTCGAACAGGAAAGCTGTGTCGTTTACTTCCTTTCAGACTCAAAATACACATTACGCAACAATGGGAAATAACCGTAATAAAAATAAGAAGCGACTGGGTTGGCGTAAAGAAACAGGCATAAATATGATAAACCTAATGAAATAAGTATCTAACGACCTATCTACTTACAGTTTTTTTTTTTTTTTTTTTCGTTACAGTATTAGTGATTACAAACATGTCGGTATCGAAATTAGAACTAACAAGGCAACTGCGGGACGCGGTCGGTGGAGCCGAGAGGGGTAGTCATCGGCAAACTTTCTGGAAGCGGCTAATAAGTTTATTTATTGAAGTGAAATTCTTTAGAATCTTTGTTATATGAATGTCAATAAAACGAAAATGCGACACTAAAAAAACATATACATCTATCGGATTAAGCCCACGATTGAATGAGTAAGAATACAGAGTTTCCTATTATCTCTATCTGAAGGTTTTACTTCTACTGCGTGTAAAATGTACACATTTTGTTTTCATCTTTTGTTAAAATTTGCGATAGCTGTATACCTTATTCATATTAAACTTTAAATATTAGTCCTTATTTGCATTTATTTGGCGGTTTCTAGTATATTGTGTAAACCTCGCTATAGAAAAGCTGTGCTTGTTAGCACAACCAAGAGTTTTCGCTTAAAAAAAAACTCCAATTAATAAAATTATGTTAGGCTTAGTTACCTCAATACACTATTTTATTTTTTGTATTTTTGTAACGTCCTCTAGACCGAATTTCGGTCGCGGCGGACAGTCTAAACGGAGACTAACCATCTGAGCAAGACAGGATTATGGTGCCCAAGAATATGCGTAAGCCCAGGTGAATGTTCTATTTCCTCACTCTCATCCGATCAGTCTGACGTTGTTTTCTGATGTTTCACCTCTGTGTGAAACTCCGCCAACTTCCTGACTCCGGGCTGCTACAGAGAATTCCTTTATAGAAAAACTCATTACTTTTTAATACGGGACCTCATGATTAGTAACCACGCCTACGACCAGTAAAACAAGGCAGTCAAGTGCCAGCCTGCCTGGGCGAGTAGATAGAAAACATTGTACTCCTTTTTAAGCATATTGCGCTCACGAAGGGGTGTGAGGTTTAGCGTTGTTTAAGTTTATATAGAAAAGATTTATATAAAACTTTACTAGCGGCGTTTGAGACTAACCATCTGAACAAGATGCGCCTTGTAAAGTTGCAGGCGGTGTGCCGGCATGAAATACTGCCCCGCTCTGCTGAGCACGCCAAGCTTTTTAGAGGACAATTTGACCTTCTCTTCCAAGTGACCACGAAACTGCACGTCACACGATATGTCGACGCCGAGGATTCCAATACTGGCTGAGGCAACAAGGGGAGTGCCTTGAAACTGAGGAGATACGACGAAGGGGGTTTTTTCAGCGGTAAACGCCCAAACTTGTGCCCTCTGGGGATTAAACTGGACTAGATTTAGTCGCCCCCAGTCCGGGACTGTTCAAAAAAGTTTCGACGTCCGGCACAAGTTTGTCCCGGTACTCGGCAACGTTTTCCCGAGAAATATTGGCACGGCCGGTATATAAAACATCACCAGTGCTGTCGTCTGCACAGCAATGAATGTTTCCGGTTTGCAACATGTCATTGATATGCAGAAGAAACAGCGTTGGTGATAGCACGAAGCCTTGTTCTGCACCTTGAGCCTGCACGGTCTACTACGACCTTGATGCTCCGATCAGCAAGAAAACTGGTGATCCAATTGCACAATTTCTCGGGAAGCCCATAGGAAGGAAACTTCGTAAGAAGAGCTTTGTGCCAAACCCGATCGAAGGCCTCCACTATGTCCTAACTAACGGCCAACGCCTCGCCCTTGGACTCATAAATGGGCGGAGGCATTAGAGTCCAAGGGGGAGGCAGGTAACCTAGAAGAAGAATGCTCTGGGTGCTGAAATCATAGCTACATGCACATGGAAAACGTCCCAAAGGTATTGGCATGTCAATATGAAAGAGTTGTACACAATTTGGATAGTTCTCAACAGTTAAACAAGAATTACAAGGTCATACGGTTACGACCCAATCGGACAACAAGACTGTTGTGGCCCATATCAAAAACCAAGGGGGAACAAAATTTCTTATATTAATAGAGGCAACAAAGAATTTTTTGATAATGGCGAGAGGATTCAGGATTCTGATCCATTCGTTCTACATACCCGGATGATACAATTGTATTGCCGATCGGCTCTCCAGAAAACTACCAGTGTCCGATATGTATCTATTGTCCAGTATAACAGAAATCAAAATTCGAGTCGAAAACAGACAAGGTGAACTACATGCAATCAGGCTGGAAAATTCTTAAATCAGAGGATCGTAACTTTGATTTTGTTTAATTTATGCTGAGAACTGAAGCGGGTACCGGTAGACTGGTGCAAAGCCGTGATAGTCCTAGTATATAAAGGAACAGGGTCGCAGCAGGACTGTAAAAACTACCGTGGCATCAGCCTTCTTAGCATTGTGGGAAAACTGTGTGCTAAGGTACTGATTGAAAGGGTCATGAAAGAAACTGATGGAAAAATTTGGGATGTGCAAGCAGGATTTAGAAAGGGAATGGGATGTACAGATCAAGTCTTTTCCATGCGCATGATCGCGGAGAAGTTTCTGGCCAAAAACCAAAAGGTTTTTTGTGCGTTCATGGACTTGGAAAAGGCCTATGACAGAGTGGATAGGGATTTGCTATGACAAACACTGAACTCATTTGGGTTGAGCGCTGGCTTGATACAGGCATTGGAGTCTCTTTATAGGGACTCTAGTGCTTGTGTTAGGATCAACGGGGTCTACTCGGACTGGTTTGACATCCATAAAGGTGTTAGACAGGGCTGTGTGGCTTCCCCGTGGCTGTTCAACCTATTTATGGACAGTTGTTTGCAAAATTTGAAAGTTGAAGAATGCGGATTAAGAAAAAAAAAAGTTAAACGTAAAACGATTTGTGAAATAAGAATAGAAGGGGAGTTGATCGAGCAAGTAGATGAGTTTGTATATTTGGGCTGCGTATTTAGCAGGGATGGAAGATATGATAAGGATATATAACGACGAGTGAATGCGGGAAATAGAGTAAATGGGGCCTTGCACTCTATTGTGAAGGGTCAAAATGTGTCGAAAAAGGCACGTATGGCAATTCACAATGCTGTGTTGGTCCCTACTTTAACGTATGGTAGTGAAAGTTGGGTGTGGCAGAAGAAGCACGAGAGTAGAATAAACGCAGTAGAAATGCGGTCATTAAGGAGTATGTTAGGGCTGAACCTGAATGACAGGGTAAGAAATTATGTAATAAGAGAAGAGTGTGGTTTGCAAGATGATGTTGTGACCAGGATTAAGAAAGGAATGCTTCGGTGGTTTGGTCATGTGGAAAGAATGAATGAGGAAAGAGTGACAAAGAAAATGTATGGTGCAGAAGTGAATGGCAGAGTCGGAAAGGGACGTCCTAGGCGAAAATTTATCGACCAAATTGGCGATTTATTGAAATTTACACTTTTGGGTCATAACATTATTAAATGTGACTAAAGAAACAAGGAGATGAGAGCCGTGGTAGCTCAGATAGTTAACGCTCGCTGTAAATATAACAGAACACGTGTGACCCGGGTTCGACCCCGCCGGCAATAATGAAATTGTTAATTACAATTTTAAGAGCTGATTTACCACGTGCTCTGCGGTAAAGGAAAACATCGTGAGGAAACCTGCATGTCCGAGGAATAAGTAAAACAAAATATTTCGAAGACATGTGAAGTTCGCCAACACGCATTGGGGCAGCGCGGCGGACACTTCCTTGCCCTAAAACCCTCCCAGAAATGAGGGGAGGCCTGTGCCCAGCAGTGTGACGTATATAGGCTGTAACTTTACTTTACTTTTAAGAAGGAAGGCTGATCTTAACTTAGATAGTTTATTTATTTCCACTAGAGAATTAATGAAAACAGCTTCAAGATATGTTATAGCAGGATGGATTTAAACAGCTTTAAGAAGCTGGTATTTTGTCTAGTTCAGAAAGCATCAGGTCCGCAGTGGTTTTATTTAGATACGTTAACAACATTTCCTTAGCGGAAATATTACGTAATGGGAAGACTGTTTCAAAGGTACAAAGCACACGTCAAAATGTTGTTATTGATAATTATTTGAGACTGTTTAACAAGACTGATTATATATACAGGGTGTCCCAGAACTCAACGTCAAGCCGAAACAGGGTGACAGGAATGATTGTTACGATCATGAGAAAAATCACAAAAAAAAATCTATCCCATGCAGTTCGGAGATTATGGGCATTTAAGAAAAATCTAGAATTTTGGTGAAACTGTAACCATTTTTCGGTTTTTGTGGTTAATTTTCATTATTTTTGTTCATTTAAACTTTGGAACCGTAACCCTAAATAACATTTCTAGAACAACAGTCAAAAATAATGACACAACTGCCC